ATTCTAAATGCATAAAAATCCTATGTAAAGGTGAGAGAGGGGTACAGTATAGAGACAAAGCTGTAGAGAAACAGAATGAGATCTGCTAACATGCTGAAGATGACAACATCAGCTCAGCAAAATGCAAGCACCTCCAGAGGCTCAGAGGGCGGAGGGTCTTGCCCCAGACTAGATCTAGAATTCTGACTGGGACTGCACCTTGCTTCCCTCAGTTCGCCCTATAATCTTCCTGTAGACAAAATGATGTTAGAGGAGGAAGCCTGGATGGTGGTCTCAAGTCTTGAGACACTCCTGCCACTCCAAATGACTTCACAAGGCAGCAAAGGCAAAGAGGGACTGTAGAAGGAACAATCCAGAGGCTTTCCAGGGCCTGAGATGTCAGCCTTTGAGTTACAAATTGACCTCCTCCAAATTGAACGAATCGTAGTAAATTTCCTGCTGTGTCTCCAGACTTCCAGTGGAGGTGTCTGGTGAAGATGTAGATGTTGGATTTGCAAAGAGAGATCTCAGAATGATTGACGATCACTGTCACACTAGAGAATGAGATTTCCCAGCGAGAATGAGGTCCCTGGGACAAGAAAATGCCCAGGACACAGCTGTAAGGAAACATAAACGTTAAGACAAGAAGAGCAAAGGAAACTAAGCGACTTCTGGGACCGGCACCATCTCTGAGTGCTTCTTGAATGTCTGGACCTGGGAATGAGTTCTCACAGTTTGCTGAGAATATTGAATATGTTATAGGAAGCAAATGCTCAGAGTGACTGAAGGAAGGGGGAGGAGTTAACGGGTGGAAGGGGGAGGAGTTAGTTAAGGGTGGAGAAAGGCTCCTACAGCTATCTAGGGCCACTTCCTGATTACAGTGGAAACACAATTTTCTGTCTCCTTTGCCCCATCCTATCACTGTTCTCGGTTAACACAGGTCCCAGGAGAACCCGGGCAATACAAGTGGTCCCAGGAGAACCCAGGCAATACAAGTGCTTCCGGGAAGGGTCAGTAGAAGGCCACCTACCCCTCTGCTAAGTGGACTTAGTCCAGAGTAGAGCATGTGTTGCTCCGAGCCATGTGGCATAAAGGCTGGACAAATATGCTCTTTCCCAGTGCTGAGGGCAAAGGTCAAGGGGACTGGGCACTGAGCAGAAAGGTAAATTTAGCAGAAATGCTAAAAGCAAAGAGAACAGGCTGTGGCATCCCCTTTTACCTACCAAGTGTAGTCAACAGTGGTTAGTCATTTAGAAGAAATAAAATTTTCCTGTAGCGAAGTACCAAGCTGGCTCCGAGGAGGGTGTTAATGGATTGTTAGCTTTTGATTGGTCCAAAATCCAGGAGGTCTTACCAGCGAGAAACCCCTTCCTCTCCCCAGTATCCTGGTTACATTAGGCTTTCTGTAGATTCATTCTGAATGGGATTTCACGCCCAGGGAGAATGGAGATAACCCAGGACCCAGGAAGTACGCAGGCTTTGGAGTTGGCAGCCACACTTGAGCCCATATCATCTGTGTAATATTTCAAAAGTTACATAAACGCCATGCTTATCAGTTTCCTCATCTGTGTTTTGGAGATGATGCTAACCTCCAAGGGCTGAGTGGCTATTTCTAAAGGGTACAAATAGCTACCCAGCAAGTATTCTCAGCTCTTGCTTTCTGTTGCCCATATTAATCCTGAGAGCCACCTTCAAGCCACCTTCATTATGGCTTTTCCCAACTCTTCGCCCCTTAGACACGTTGTCCAGATAAACAGCGAGCTTTCCTTTGTGGTCCGTTGGTAGATGGTATTCTGCCATCGCACTACCAAGCTATTGCACATTGGAAATTGCTTGCTCAGACCCTTGGGGACACGCTGACGTGCTTTTGTAACTCTCAGCCCTTCACCCAGTTCTTGGAGAAAACGTCACATTTCTCAGTTTCTCAGCAAGCACAAGAGCTTGATATGGTTCCTGATGGAAATCTCCAGGAAAAATCAAGAGCCTCAGTGTAAAGACACATGCGCACACGCACCCTGGGTGCTGTACTGTGACCAGGTAGCAGTTACAGCTGGAGCCGCTGTGAGCCGACAGCCTCCTTTAGCTGCTGGAAATCGCCAGCCATGGTACTGTTTTCTGTCTAGCTCCTTGGCACAGTGAGTGGTTCGTCATTTGCCCTTTCTCTTTGAAGTTCATGCCCTCAGGCACCTGGCTAAATTTAGCTCTTTTCGGGTACCTTTCCTAACTGACCCACAGCTGTGGTAGTTTTGGCCATTCCCCAGACGGGCTCACTCCCCTCATACAGAGGTCTCTTCGGGTGCTGCTGACTGCCCTGACTGCCCCGCCGCTTGCATAATTGATCCCTTCAGCCAACAGTGTTTGCTTTGAGAATCAATTTGTGCTCTTGGAAGCTAAAGCCCTTCATTCTAGCTCCTGACCCTTTGGCCCTCCTTGGTCATCTCTTCCTTGTTCTGCAGCAATGGCTCATAGCTCTTTCTCCTTCCCGCTACAGCTGGGAAAGAAATAGTAAGTAATAACTCTGAAGTATTTTCCAGACTTTTCTCCAGGGACAAGGCCTCAGATCCCGGAAGATCCAGCATAGTGAGGTGTTCTTCCTTTTTTTCTTTCCTTTCTTCCTTTCTTCCTTCCTTCCTTTCTTTCTCTTTCTTTCTCCTTTCTTTCTATTAAGGTATAAGGTATTTATTTTAGCTAGGTATGGTGGTACATACTTTTAAATCCAGCACTTACTTGGGAGGCACAGGCAGGTGGATCTCTGTGAGTTCAAGGCCAGCTTGGTCTACAGAGAGTTCCAGGACAGCCTGGTCTACAGAGTCCAGGACAGCTAAGGCTAGTAAGAACCTATCTCAAAAAACAGAAAAAAAAATATTTTATTTTATGTTTGTATGCGCGAGTGTGTGAATGTTCACTGCAAACACTCAGGAGCCTGTAGAGGTAAGAAGCGGGCATCAGCTCTCCTGGAACAGGAGTTACAGGTGGTTGTAAGCCACATGTGGGTGTTGGAAACCGAACCCAGGTTCTCTATAAGTCTGTGAGTGCTTTTAACTACTGAGCCATCTCTCCAGCCCCGATTAGGTGCTACTGATTCTTGAGCCCCACAGAGGTTCAAGCCTGAATCCCTTGGCAGGCAGTTAAATGACAGGAATGCATGTAAAGGCTTTGATAGATTTATATGTGCGCATTTCCAAAGGCCCGGAATAAAGATCATACTCAGCCTTATTTCATTTTGCTTATTTGCTTATTATTTTCTTCTTTTTAATATAAGTTATGAATAAATCAACCAGGCAGCAAGCACGCATGGATCTCTGTCTTCATTCAGCCGGCTGGGAGCCCTTCAGAAGTGACCAAAAGAATGACACAAGAGGGGGAGGGGGAGGGAAAGGGGAGGCGGCGGTGGGGAAGAGACAGAAATCTTTAATTAATTAATAAAGAAATAAATAAATTAAAAAAAAGAATGACACAAGAGCGAGCACAGGAAATGAAAGCTATCTTAGGGCTTGGGGGAACACTTGAAGAGGATTCAATGGGGCCTCTGTCTTCCTAGAATTTGAAGACTATGTGGGAAAGCCAAACTGACCCACATAAAAGAAGATCAGAGCTAGCACTAAATGTGAGGAACATTCTGGAGAGACTTTGCAGAGGTGGGAGGTTTGTGCTGACCTCAAGGGACAGGAAGCTTTGAATAGATACGGGAGAAGGGAGAGACTTATCAGCAGGAAAGAATACAAAGAGCAGAGGCCAGAGGAGGCAGCTGGTACACGGTCTGCACGTGTGTGGCTCCGAGGTGGCGGTAAAGAGCTGACCACATTCCAGTGGAACATGTATGTGAGGGACAGGAGCAGACCAGATGTGGTCCACATCTGCAGGGCCTTGAGAGTCAGTCAAACTCCCAGCCACAGACACCTGGTAAGATGAGAGGGCTCCTGTTAAAGAAAAGTGAGGGGGGGGGGGTGAACATCTTGTCCTTTTTTTGTCTTCTAGGAACCACAACAAAAGACCTCTTACTTAAATTCGCTCTCATCCTCATTAGCTGCAGGTCTTTTCTCCCCAGAGAACCATGTTAAGAGGCACCTGGAAGACCAACGCAAGGGATAACGGGCCAGTGAGACCACGGTGTGCATGTCTTGCCGTGAAGGGCTCTAGTCATACCTGGGCACAGATACTCATGAGAAGAGTGATTGGGGTCATCAAAGAATATGAATCGACGAGATCCTGAGAAGAAAAGTGATGCTCTGGATTGGAAAAGAACATGGAGAGTCCTGAGTGGCCACTGTCCTGACTCGAGACTAGGGCCCGTGACTCTGGTGTCGTTGACACACTTGCTGACCACAGAGGAGGAGGTCGGGCCGATTTTAGGTATTTGGCTGACGGGTCACGTGAAGAAACTGCTCCTTTCCAGCAGCTCTTTACAAGGGAAGCAAAGCTCCCTGCAGAACTAAAGGTTAGTATAGGATCCCCAGTAACTCTTTAAACCAAAGCAAACACGCAGGCAGCCCTTGTTTGTTCTGCACGGGGCTGGTCTCCTGCCCTTAGTCACCTGATTTTCAAGGCTCCTGGTTGATTTCCTCCTGGGGTCAAAGATGAGAACAGACAGAAAAAAAAAAGACAGAGCTGAGGATGCTAGACAATCAGGAGGAGTACGGGATACACGGCAGGTCTCTCTTTAAAGAGCAAGATTTTGATTGGTTTGGAGATGTCAAGATGCTTGATGAGGGACTGGAGAGATGGATCACCATTTGAAAGCATTGGTTTCTCTTCCAAAGAACCATAGTTTGGATCCCAGCACCCACATAAGGTGGCTCACACTGCCTGTGACTCCAGCTGCATAGGACTTGTGGTTCTCTTCTGACCTCAGCAGGCAACCCCTCCGCTCTAAGATACTCATACACATAAAGAAATAATAAACTAAATCTTTGAAAGAGAGAGAAGGAAGGGAGGGAGGGAAGGAGAAAGGAAGGAAGGGATGGAGGGAGAGAGGGAGGGAGGGAGGAAGGGTGGGTTAATCAGGCTGGGATGTAGTTCAGTTGGAAGAATGTTTGCCTAGCAGGCACAAAGCCCTGACACCACGTATTACTGGGTGTGTAATTCCAGCACTTAAGAAATAGAAATAGCCAGGCAGTGATATGCATCTTTAAACCCAGCTCTATCAGGGAGGCAAAGGTGGGCAGGCCTCTGTGATTTCAAGGCCAGCCTGGTCTACAGAACTAGTTGCAGGATGACCAGGGCTATGTATGCAAAGAAGCCCTGTCTCAACGGAAAGAAAAAGAAAGATGCGGAGACCAAGTCAGGCACGGCGGTGCAAGTCTTTAATCTCAGTACTTTCTGAGGCTGAAGCAGAATCTGTGTGTTCAAGGTCAGCCTGACAAATAAAAAAAGTGAGCTGGGCAGTGGTGGCGCACACCTTTAATCCCAGCACTCGTGAGGCAGAGGCAGGCAGACCTCAGTGGGTTTGAGGCCAGCCTGGTTTACAAAGCAAGTTCCAGAACAGGCAGGACTGTTACAGAGAAACCTTATCTCAAAAAAAACAAAAACAAAGAAGGAAAGAAAAGAAAGAGAGAGAGAGAGAAACAAAGAAACAGAATCAGGAGCTCCTGCTTGCAGGCTGAGAGTTCCCACTATGGGTCCTCATGTTACAGATACTGACGACCAGGCGAATGGACCGACGCCATACTCTTCCTCGCTGAAGCGGCTCAGCGCTCCACCTGTGTCCCCGCGGCTTCGCGTGCGGCCCTGGTGGTTCCCGGCGCACGAACTCAGGGATCCTCTCGTGTTCTACTGGAGGCCTGGGTAGCAGAAATGATCTTTGGCCCCAATCAAGTCTTAATCCCAGAAATAGAGTGGTTAAGCCAGGCTTTGCTGAGAGTGGACATTGTCGACCCTGGGAACGTAGCTGAAATCACCATCTATGGACGACCCTGTGTGAAGAGTCGAATCTTGCACCTGGCAGCTTGCCATAAAGAAGAACATGTCCAAAGAGCTACAAAGATGAAACAACTTGAGGAATTTTTGAAGAACCATTCCCCAAACTCAAGAGACCAGGCAAGAGACACTTGCTGACTGAGAGGCAGACCAGCTTTCCGCCCGCCCGTGGAGGTGAAGAGAAACAGTTCCTTAAAATCTCCCCATTTATTTCCTTTCCTGCCTTTGTGGATGGATACCTGTTTGTTTTCATTTCTCCAAGTAGCAATTTGTAGAACTGTTCAAATATAGAAATGACTTTTTTGGCCTGTTATTTTTATCACACACAATAAAGCAAACTTAAACATCAAAAAAAAAAAAAAAAAAAGAATCAATCAGGAATTCAAGTTTGTCCTTAGCTACACACCAAGTTTGAAACCAGTCTGTACTGTACTAAACGTGATTCTTCTAAAAACAAACAAATGGAAAAACAAACAAACAAGCAAGACAAACAACAGCAACAAAAAAACCACGTGATCAGGAAAAACCCAAAGAATGTAAAACTGGAACACCTAGAGTCTTCAGCAGAAGTGTGTCTCTTCTTCCTCTGTTTGAGGGCCCTGTGTTAGTAGATGGGAGATGATGCCAAGACTAGTCCCTAGAGGCCCTGACATCCAGCACATGAAAATCAGTCCTGTCTAGCTTTGAGGTAGTGACAGGGTCCTGACTGGGACTTCCTTCAGGCTGTCAGAACAAGCTCCTAACCTCTCAGTGGATAGTTTTCAATCTTCCTTACCTTCCAGCCTCTAAGGTAGGCTGCCTCCACTCCATCATGTCAGTTTTCATAACCCCTAAGTTTTCTGCCTATGGAATACGCAGTCTTGCTTAGGGCACCGTATGGGCATGACACATACATATAGCAAAGAAACACGTGCAGGCCATATACAAATGCTAAGTAGTGATATTTTAAAAATGCAGGATCACTGCAGAGCAAGAGGAGCAAGCGAGCGGGTCTCAGAACTCACAGTGAAAGAGACTTTGCCTGTAATGGAATCTGAAGTCCTTAGCCTAGCACTTTCCCGAACCTGAATGCACCATCTTTTCCAGCCTTGCCTCCCAGGATTCCTTTGCATAGACTAACTGGATCGCCACGCTCCGCCCATGTTTCTCTTACTCCACAGCTGTTTTTCTGTTTGTTTTATTTTGCTTGCCATTGACAGTCTCTTGTCTTCTCTGCCTCTTGAAATCCTAACCATGTTCCAGATATGACTTATGTTTCTTCTGTTTCTCAAAACCTTCCCAGCCCAGGCCAGCCTCCCATGTCCTCACCCTGCCCAAATTCACAGTACTCCCTGTCCCAGAACTCATGGCCTGGAAGGTCATCTTTCCATTCATGTCCATTCTTGTAACAGTTTCTTTTTTTAAAAAGATTTATTTTATTTTGATTTTATGTGGATTGGTGTTTTGTCTGCATTAATTTGACCATGTGCAAGCCTGTTCCCTCAGAGGCTGGAAGAGGGCATCAGATCTCTTGGAACTGGAGTTACAGTTGGTTGTGAGCTGCCATGTGGGTGCGGAGCTGGAAGAGGAGCAAGTGCTCTTGACCACTGAGTTGTCTCTCCAGGCCTTTTTGATAGTTTCTTCACTTGGACCCTTACTGACTTTTGATCTTGCTATGTAGCATCCCCCCCCCAACTACTTCCTGCTCTCTATGAAAGATGACATTTCATAAATCCTGCAGCATCTAGCTCAGGTCTAACATATGGTCAATGATGATCAATAGATATTCGTCAAAGGGATGTCACTAGAAAACTTCCTGTGACTATACTCTATCACGAAAATTAAACATTCCCATTTCCAAGTCTCATGGCCCACCTTTCACATAATCCAAAAGGAGGGGCATTCTGAATGGATTATTCTTAGGAAAACATTGTTACTAGGAATGCCCTGTCTACCATCCCTTTTAAGGTGACCTTGTTTGCCACAACTATAACATTTTTAACATTTTGATTTTTCCTCAAACCTCTCCTATCCATGCATCATCATGTTCATGAGATTCAATATTAATTCCTGCAAAGGTGCTGACCTTGCCTTTAATGGCCTATCTTTTGCATGGAGAATTGGCATTTTTAAAAGCCAGAGATTTAATTGTTATTTGTCTAGCTTCTGAGTTTGCTATCATTCTGTTTACTGCTGATGTCAATCTTTGTAATAAATCCATAAGGCTTCCTTTGGGCCTTGTAAAACTTTAGTAAATGACTCAATTTTCTTTCCAACTTCTCCAACTCTGTTCCAAGCATTCAAAGCTGCTGTGCAGCATAAATCTGGGGTGTGATCATCATATAGAGCCTGGCTGTCTATAGCAGCGTAGTCTCCTTCTCAAGGAATTTGATCTTGGTACAGTCATGTACCACATAAATGATGTATCTGTCAATCATGAACCATGTATTCGTTGGTGGTGGTGTAAAATGGAGCGTGAGAGACCTTGGCGGGTCAGGGGACCATGTGGCGGGTGAGAGACAAATACACCTGTAGGCAAAGCTTAAGTGAGGATTTTATTGAGGGAAGGGTAAAGGGGAGGGAAAAGGGAAAGAGAAATACAGAGAGAAAGGAAGAAGAGGCAAGGATCAGCCTGCCTCTTTAGAAGAACAGCAGAAAAAGAGAGAGCAGGAGTGGGCAGAGCTTGTCTCTTAAAGGGACCTTTTGTAACTGTGTACAGACATAGTTCCTTAGGAGAGTTCCCTACCTCTAGCTTTACTCATTGTTCAATAATCTTAGCCTCTCCCATGAACCAGGTACTTCACTGTAATTGTTTTGCTTTTCTGTACATCTAAAGATGGAGACATGTTTCCTGACCTCTTGAAGGCAGGCAGTAATAAAGGAATGACATCTAGGAGCCAGCCCTACAGACACATCAAATCTGCACACTGCCCTCTCTCAACAGTACTCAAGGCTAGGATCATCTAGACATCTATGGGGTTTTTTTAGAAGCCATCACATGGACAAGAATTCGAGGAACAAGGTTTCTGCTGCATCCCGCACTGAAGGCAGAGCCTGGGCTCCAGTTCTATGCTCTGAGTTCTTTGCAAAGACCTAAAACACAGCAGACATTTAATGCACATCATGAGTGAAAACTTTCTCGCTTTTCTTATTCTCTTTTAGTTCTCCATCTTGCTCTGTTTCTTTGATATCCTTTCTGTCTTTCTCTTTGCCCATTCAGGACCTGTTGAGGTGCCTACTACTAGAAGTCATCAGGCCCTAACTAACCAAGGGGAAGGGATCCTTTACTGTCTACTTTTTCTGATCATTCTTGCTTCTGCCTCAGGAAATCCATGGGCTGGTCTTTGACCATTATTAAATCCTAATTATCAAAACCCAAGAGTTTCATTGTTTATTGGATGATCTACTGTAGCATGAGTTCTAATAGGTCTTAATAATAAAAGCCCAGGGGCTGGAGAGATGGCTCAGCAGTTAAGAGCACTGACTCTTCTTCCAGAGGTCCTGAGTTCAATTCCCAGCAACCACATGGTGGCTTACAACCATCTGTAATGAGATCTGGTGCCCTCTTCAGGGGTGCATGCAGGTACACATGTAGGAGAATACTGTATACATAACAAATAAATAAATAAATCTTTTAAAAAAAATAATAAAAGCCCTGAGTCAGATATTGGGGAAAATGCTGAGAGATCAGAGAGATGGAGGAGCAAAACCTTGACCACCTTTTCTCTCAACTTCCCAGCCAAAACAAGACTGAGTTCCTGTTTCCTCCCACCTTATCACTTCCTCTCTCAGCCATATCACTTCCTGTCTGTCTGTACAGACCTCCTGACCTCTATGGTTAGGTAGTGGCTAGCTCTGCCCTCTGATGTTCAGGCAATTATTTGTATGAATAAGATATCACCACAATCTACAATTGATGGACTACATCGTTGGGTTAGTCAGCACCGCTCCTGTTCCCTCACCTTTAATCTTATTTTTCTTGTCACCTCTTTCCTGTTTGAAATACTTTCAGTCCTTCCAGAGTCCAGCTGGTAAACCTCAACTCTGAGACACCTGACTCTTGAGCCCTTTCCTTCAGAACAGCCATGGCCAGTCTTCTCGCTGATACTCCCACTCTTCTGCTTGGTGCTGTCCCTACCATGAAGTCTGCCTCTGGGCACTGGGCAGCACACTGCTGTAGGAGTGGCCTTCGGATTAGGCCGGCCACACATCTCTGTAGAAAAGGCTCTACAGAGCTTGTGCAAGATCAAGCATAACCTGGGCTGGAGAGATGGCTCAGCAGTTAAGAGCACTGACTGCTCTTCCAGAGGTTCTGAGTTCAATTCCCAGCAACCACATGGTGGCTCACAACCACCTATAATGATATCTGGTGCCTTCTTCTGGCCTACAAGCAGGATACTTTATAAATAAATAAAAAATAATAAATAAATAAATCTTTAAAAAGTGGGGGTGGGGGGGCAAGATCAAGCGCAAACCAGGGAGTTGGGAAAATAAGTGATGATGTGGAAAGACATTGGAACTCTCAGGAGTACTGATAAAATCTCTTGTCTGATTCAGTTTGGGATTTTGTAGAGCTCATGTTGAACCATTTGTTTTCTTTAGTATCAAAAATATGTCTAAACCAGGTATGGAACACATGCACTTAGGAGGCTGAGGTGGGCATGGCTCTATGAGTTCTAGGCCAGTCTGGTCTACATAGTGAGTTCCAGGCCATCCAGGACTACATAGAAGGATGCTTGTCTCCAAAGCAAATAATTAATACACCCACATAGTTTTAGGCCTTGGTACCAGTTGTCAGGTAACTAGCTGATACTCTCTCCGACAAGAAGCTTCCTGGCCAAGGGTGGGGACAGATCTAGACAGACAATGAGAAGATGAAGGGCATCCTTCTGTGCCCGCCTATCCCACCAGGTATCCTGCTCTGCACTGTGCCTACAGATCTCAACTGGGGAGTCTGTTCCTCAATAAGGGGATGCCTGCTCCCACTGCCTTCCTGATGTGTGGGTCAGTGAGGTGTGAGTGAGAAGGCAACTGTTCTCAGTGCTAACTGATAACTAGTTCTAAATAAGAAGCTTGCCTGAGTCTTGTAAGGGAAATGTCTACAGTTTGTGAAATGTTAGCACTGCTTTCGAAGATGATTTTTATGAGAAATACTCATAAGGGAATGCCAATGGATTGGTTATCAAATAATAGATGCCGTATGTCATGGGTAATGACAGAGAAAAAACAGATGGAATAGACACTGAAGAAAGAGCAAAGAAAATTCAGCAAGATGCCAGAGAGGTTGTCTCTAAGCTGCAGAATTGGGGCCCTTTCTCCTTGTTTCTGGGCTGTCCAGTTGTTTAATATGAGTAAGCGTGGATCTTAACATAAATGGGAAGAATCACGTTCAAATCTGTGTTCCAGATG